GGCCTGCTTGTGCTACTTACTGCTGTCATTTTAGGGGGTAGGCATACAAGCTTGAGGCCCCCAGACCAGCAATTCTCTCAAACTCTTCTAAACAAGCCTTTGGTGCACCATTCCTCCTGTCTGTCTGGGGGCTGAGGTTCCCCCTAGGCTGTCTCTTTCATTTCTTTCTCTTAGATGTTGTATGTTGCCTCCTCCTGTGTTCCCTTTCCCCTTCTTTGTCTCTGTGCATGGGCAAAACAAATCACCAAGGCCCTCTGAGTAAAAGCAAGGGACTCTGTTGCCCGCTGCATTACAGCCACTTATGCACGTGCAGTTTATTTACTTCATTTATAGACACAACTGTAATCTCCTCCAGCATGTTCTAGAAATCAGCTCTTGTACTTTTAATGGTCTCTAAGAAACACAATTCACCACCTTACTGAGTCTGTCTGGTCTGTCAGTGAGTGGGGAGGGGTTGGGATGCCAAACTGGTTTTGGAATGTCTTTTTTTTTTCTTTTTTTTTGGTCACTTTCATAGCATAAACATACCTGAAGTTCTGGCCCTCAAAGCAGTGGCTGGTTTTCCATTGAAAAATGATGGTAGTTCCAGTTGTGCTGGACTGAGTCTGGTAAGTCTGTAACAAAATGTGTGAACCAGGAGCTCTGGGGGAATAGTCTGCCCAAGCCAGCTCTACTTCCAGCCACCAAACATCCAGCTGCTGTGTCCTATTCAGGGGACTACCTTCCTGTGCATTCGAGTGTGTTAGTGACAGCTCTAGGTCTCAGGCTGTGTTGTCTTTGGGTTTCAATAACCTCAGATCTTAAGCCCAGAAAACAATTCTCCATTGGTGTTGGAATATAAGTTCAGGATCCAAATGAGCTCCAAGAGTAGGATCCTGTTCACAGCATATCTTAGAGCGTGACTACAATAAAGGTAAGTGCCCCATTGTTTTGCTTCACTTGAAACAATGAAACTCATTAAAAAGAAATGAGAGATCTTTGTCCCGTGCGGACTTATTTTAAAATGAGGTATTTGTGTCCTTATCGGCCTCTACTGCTACAAAGGTTAGGCTGTAAAACAGCATTCTCTGTAGCCTGGGGTTCCCTTATGACCAATCTTTGTTCAGTCTTAAGCATCACCAAAATCGTACCAGAACAACGAACACACCAGAACAATTCAAAATGGTGAATTTGGAGCAAGGCAGCTAGACTAATTCTTCAAAGATGAAAGCTTTCCTGGGAAAGGAGGGTGTCTGGACTGGCTGGTGGATTAAAGCAGCATGTACAGTCTAAAATTTCACACACTTCAGGCCTGCACAACCTGAACGAACTAGTCATGCTACAATTCCTGCCAATTTGTGTGTTGTCTTCCTGTCAGTTCCCAGCCTCATTCATATAGGGGGATAGGGAAAATGTTCCTTAGGACAGATGCATTTTTAGACTGTTCACTGTGCAGTCTCAAAGTCTCTAGCCAAACCTGGGGACTTGAATGCTCATTTTCCAAAGCTGGCCAGCTGGAACACAGAGCTGGAGCTAAACATACTGCTGAAAGTTGCCCCAGGGTTGAGCCCAGTTCACGAGTCATGTTGTGGATGCTGGCAAAGAGTTGCATGTTTAACCATAAATCCTCTAGTAGGCATTGGAAATACCACGCTTTGCTGGGAGCTCATCTTCTGAGGTGCCATCCTTTAACATATCAGCATTTCTGCTGCTCCTGCAGAGTCTGTTAACCTGGACAAAACATGGTTTTAAATGTGCTTTAAAAGCAAGGCCAAGGCTTTGGGAGAATGGTTCTTCATAGGTCTAAAATTCAAGCTCTGCCTTTAAATGTGAAACATGTTTAACATGCCTTTGAACTGGAACAGATTGCCCAGAGAAGTTGTGGATGCCCCATCCCTGGAAGTGTTCGAGCCAGGTTGGCTGGAGCTTCGAGCAACCTGGTCTAGTGGAAGGTGTCCCTGCCCATGGCACAGGGTTGAAGCTAAGATGATCTCTAAGGTCCCTTCCAAATCAAACTGTTCTCTGCAACATGCAGCTCCCATATCAACTCTTTCATCCTGATGTCTTTAGATTTGGTGGAAGAAAAGCCTCAACTATACTGCTCTTAAATGGATATGCCTTAAACCTTCATATTTCTAGATACCTAAAGCATTGCTCTGGCCTCTCGTGAGGTCTCTGGGCACTGATCAGAGCAGGCTGCGAGTTCTCATCAGTGGTGGGGTTTGTGGTCTCAGCTGGAGAGTAACCAAATGATAGTGGGGAAGACAGATTTTTCTTCAGAGTAGAAGTGTAGCATCAACATTTGTTCAATGGACCTAGCTTTCCTGTGAAGGGACAGAGGTCCCTGCTCTGATGTATCCGCTGGGGTTGGAAGCCTTAACTTGGTAAAGAGAAGCAATAATGGGGAGGTATAGAGGTTTTATCTTTGTTCTGACCTCTTAGCAAATAATTACTCTCTGAGATGTAACAGATAAAGATAAGTAATAGTAATGGCCAGTCTTCGCAAACGAAGATTTTGGGAAAGGTCTTTTACCTTTCAAGCCTGTGCAATGGATTTTTTTAGGTGAGACACAGCATGCGCTGAACTGAGCCCACCTTTTAATCCTAAGGTTCATCTGCCGGGGCCAAGCAAGCTTGGACAATGGCAGTGAGGTCCTCAGGACGTAGGTTTGTTTAGAGTGACCCTCTCATAGATGGATGGCCTCACAGGGCTAACGAGCTCCATCTGCCCGGGGGACCGGGAATCGAACCTGGGTCGCAGCGGTGAGAGTACCACATGCTAACCACTAGGCCACCAGGGGTCCCTCAGATAAAGATATAGGTTTTACAAATAGGCAACTCAGCTGTGACTGTTGGATACTTCAGCCTCCATACTTCTGATAATCTTTGACCTATTTTTTTGCCAGAGATACAGTGCAACATCTATTGAGAACACCCTTACTTGCTCAGATATGACCAGGTCCATAACATCCTTTCCTTCAGTGCATAGACCCACTAAATGATTTCTTCAGAGGCCAAAGTGGCACTTTCATGTTCTTTCCTACCAGGCTTCTTTTCCAAAAGACTTTGTACTATTTTTTTAAATAAATTTCTTGTAATCTCCAAAAAAGCTTTTTTTAGTTCATTGCTTTTAAGCATGTACTTGAAAGCTGAAGGCACTTTCCTCTCTTGTGCTCAAAAGCCTCTTTTAAATATTGCACATTGGTAAGTACAAAGAACTACAAGACTGAACACAGACATCTCTCTGGTATGTTCCTGATCTCTGTGGTTCCCCTCTGTCCTTTCACCAACAGCACTGCTACCCTTTTCATTCCTTGCTGTAGTCCATCTTCACCCCTTAGCTTTTAATGAACCTGTCCAAAGAGCCTGGTAACCCTTTCCTCAAATTCATTCTTGTTTTGACCTCAGTCTATGAATGCAAACCTTGCAGCTATTTGTCCAGCTTCCCTAAACCCTCCAGCAAGCAGAGTTTAGTTCTTCTAATGTACTGGTTATTTTTCCAAGTGATGTTTTTTTCATTTTTTTTCCTAGCTTTCTTAGACGCTTATGTTGTACTTCCATGCATTTCCTCTATTACCTAATTTCTGTGGAAAAACAGTAGTTTTGATATCTGTCAAATTGTGACTATCTCATTCTGCAGGGACAAGTTTTCAGCAGATAGCTGGGTATGCTTGGCTATGCCTCTCTGTCCTTGTGTTTCCTGCCTTCTCAACCATCCTGTGCTTAGTTTTCCTCCTTCATGGAGGGTCTGACCCATTCTTTCCTTTCTCCCAGTACTTCTTTCCATTCTGTCAATCTCACTACACTCCAGATTTCCTTAGAGGTGCTCAGATTCTCTGAAGTCATCTGATCTCACAGTTGGAGTCCTCAGAAACTTCAGTATCCCTACATTTTCCAGACACTGTATCCCTTTTCTCTGCTAGCACATGATTTCCAAATGCTCTTAACACTCAATCAACTTGCAAATGTCTGCCAACCCCACAGTCTCACAGATGCTGGGGCCCTTTATACCCCATCTCTGCAGGTTGTTTCATCTCCAAAAGAGCCCACCTCTCTTTCCTTATATTTCAGCTGTATCAAACACTTAAACAAATATTCTATTGTTTTTTAAGCCGTAAACTCTCATCCATCTTCTTTCTCTGTAATTTCTCCATTGTCTAAACATTCCTCTTTCTTGCTCTTAAATACATGGAAATACCGACTTCTGTGCTGCTTACTCCTGCAAAACAAACCACTCTAATACTCCAACTTATCCACAAAATGTCTTCTCTTCTTCTGCACTTTCCTTTCCCCTTCAGGCACTTGTATTTCTACTTCTCTGCCTTCTTCCTGCACAACAGGTGCTCCCAGTCCAAAAAGACACAACTCGCTCTTCTTCGTGTCCTGTGACCTTCAGGTGCTCTTTGTGTGTTTTCCATGTCCTCCAAATAACTGTGCTATGCCTCTAACATATCTAAGACTGCTGCGGATTTACATCCCCTCAGCTTTCTCCTTTGGTACAAATCCACCCCAGCTCAGACCTTTAATTTGTCTTTTGCTGACCTGCATGTCCCTCTAAATGTGCACTTGCTTTCCTTTTCTCTGTTTTTTCACATTCTCGGTGAAACACTCCTATTTTCTGCACTCTCACTCCAGCACTGCTGGACTCGCCTCTTGTTTTTAGCCAGTCCAAGCTCACTATACATCTGTTGAGCAGATAATTTGTGGTCTTGTCAGCCTACAAGAAATGTAGGGATATTCCTGAGAGGATCAGCTGATTTCTCTTAAGATGGCAATTTTTGCACTGATTCTCAGGACAGGGAGGGCTAATCTATTTACCAACCTGTATAACATCTTCATGTTTGTATAGGCTTTTAAATCTGGATTTACAGCTATCCAGAATGGTGCCATTACTTTGAGTTCATCAGTCGAAGCTCTTGTTTTCTTTTTTTTTCCCCCCCCTCATTTTAACACTTTTACAGAAGTGAGAGAATATGATGCAAGCTTCCCCCACGGAATACTTCACCACCTTCTACAGCTATATTTCTTTATGATGAAGAGAACTTAGTGTTTCAAGTAGTTTATGCCTCTGATTAATCTTTTTTAATCACCCACTTAACTGTGTGTGATGCAGCGGGTCTCATCAATTTTATGGTTATTAGAAGGTACCATGTAATGTGAAGAATCGTGTCTTACTCTTTGGATATTCAGGAAAGATCATGCTCACCATATGAATCATCATACATTTGTGATATACAGAGACTGTTTTAGGTGTTGCACCTGCTCTTTCTCCTTTACTTCTCTATCTGCCTTTCTTGTTTTAATTGTGACCAAAGTTACTTTTAGGAACTAAACCTAGCTTTTAGCTCTGCTTCTTGGGCAGTGTTTTTACAGAATATGAAAGTCCCTTCATCAAGGCAACTTAGAGATTTCATTCTTTAATTACCCCTTTTTCTTCATTTAAAATTACCCACAAACACAGAAAATGGACTTTTTTCATGTTTGCAGATGCCCTGATTTTTTCCAGTGGCAGCCTCCAAAGAGGAATACATGTTCCCATACCTCTAAGTGCCTGTTGCAGGACTGTCCTCCTGCTGGGCTGCCACCCTTGCTGAAGGACACCCCCTGAATTGTTTGCTTCTATTCCCAG